CCCCAAAACCCCAAAACCCCAAAACCCCAAGGTTAAAAATTATGTATATTTTAGAAATTGTAATAAAGTTCGTATTAATAAATTAATTAATTGATTCTTTATTTAATTTGAAGGATATTCAATTCATTTCAATGTCGATATCTTTATTAATTTTCTACCTTAACTCTCTAGATTAGTTGACAATATGATCACTCTAGTCTTAGTTTTTTAACCCAAGGTTCAATTATTCCATCATTTACCTTAATTCATTTCTTTACTCATCAAAACTTGGACCAAGATTATCTGCTAACAGCAAGTATGCACTAGAAATTATGAAATACGTATGATAGTTACTTTAGCATGCCTGTTTCAGCAAAATAGCCTTAGAGATATATGCTCTACAATCGACCTTCTTCAACTGATTTATCAAAGTGTTCTCTTAGATCTTATATGCTTGAATCAGATTCATTCAAATCATAGGATGAGTAATTTTTGTCTGCCCATTCTAGACCATCTAAATAGCCTTTATTCCATTAATCTCTTTGATTTCTTTTCTATTCATTCTCAGCCAGCTTTAATTCTAATTGCCTCGAATCAATTTAAGAATCATCTTAGAACCAATCGTCGTCCATTGTTATTTTTTATTATAAATTCAATAGTTTTTATTCTGGTTATTTATTAAATCAAGATTAACAAATCATTATTAAAGTTAAAAACTTATTAAATTTCCTATTGAAATTACCGCATTATCATCCTTAAGAAAATCTCAGTTCTCTCTGTTGGTTTCGACAATAAACCACTGATTTCTAGTGATATCATATTAATGAATCTCATTCTCATCATCAACAATATAAACAAAGCCCTGACTTTAATCATTAATTAGGTTCTGCTCCCCTCCTAAAACTAAATTCCCAGCTACTTATCTTCGATTAGTGATATTGCTACCAGCTCCTTGATTGAAGCCTTAATACTACTGAGGGTTGATTTTGATTGTATAGTCCTTAAATTTAATGAATTTTTTGCTCTTTTTCATTACGCAATCCATCTTGGTGATTTCAAAAGTATTGGTATCTACCTTGAAACACATGTTAGTCAAATCTGTATCCATAAAACCACCAAATAGCATTATAGTTGAATCAGTCAAAGCCACGCTACCTAGCTGACTCCTCTTTGCATCACAATATTATCCAAACAAAAATATCAGTTCCCAATGAGAAGCTCCTTCAAAGTGAGGTGAGGCAAAGTTAAGTCTCTCTATGGTACTTAGAGATGATCCGTAATTGATAGCAGAACTACCACCGATAGCATAAACAAATGAATCTCCTAATCTACAGGCACTGAGCGAATGTCTTTCCTCAACCAATCTTGGGAGATGTCTCCATGAATTGCCATTCATTGCAAAGCCCTCTGCTTAACTCATAGATTTCTCTCCATCCCAACCTCCTATTGCAATCAATTCTCCAGTCAAAGTAACTTCAACAAAAGCATGATTGGACCTTCCATAATGCATCTCAGATTTCTCAATCAATACTCCATTTCTCTCATCATATTCAAAGAGCTTCTTTCTTTATTTTCCACCACACACATAAATTCTACTATTTAGTGAACTTTACAGGATTGTGCTGAAGTTTCCAAAGGTATGCTCCATTTCTTGTATGTTAAGAGTCTTTTATGTGAAATACTTCAAATCATGCATGATTATTTGCTTTTTATTAGGGACAAATACAGCTATTCTATTTTCTTTAGAGAATAACTCAAGACTTCTTTATGCCATCTCTGCTCTCTCTCTTACTTGCTAGAAACTACTCAAGTCTAGTTGATTTTGGAGCTTCACTAGCATAGTCTTGAAATATTCTTTCTTTTACTTTATTTAATCCCCTAAAAGCTACAGTTCTTGATCAAAGCTCTCAATTTTATCCTTTTCTAGCATCACTTCCAAGTACTTCTCTTCTTTCAAAGATTTAGATATTTAATCAGTAGCCTATCTAATTCTGTAGTTGAAGTTTTGAATCTTATGAAAGAAAAATGACTAAAACAGTTCTACTTCCCTCTCAATGTTTCTGAGCTCTCCTCTGTTTATTTATTGGAGTATACGAGAGCATGCATCCTCTAGAGCCTATTTAGATTCATCCTTCATTTTTAGAACTTCTTCCCTTATCATCTTTTTGAATTTGAGAACAGTATCTTTCTACATAATTTTCCTATCTAGTTGAAGCTCCAATGACTTAGATTTTAGCAGATCAAGTAACTCTTTGTTGATGGTAGCGCAGACATTGATGAAGTTAAATCTATGAGTCTTATGCTAATTCTTAACACAATCTTAGCATATTCTCTATTTGTCATCAAAACAGAAGAATTCAAGAGGCCTTCCATGCAAGGAACAAAAAAGTGGAGCATTAGGCTCGTTAGGAATAGACTAGTTTCTCTTGATTTAACTGCTGTTGTTTCCAATAATATGGTCGAAGATATCGTTATTATTATTGCTGCTGTTCTGCTGGAAGTTAAAGTTATGCACTGTATTCCTCATTACACTAGCAAAGGCAGGATTTATTTAGTTGGTAGAGTGGTTGTTATACTATAATAAAGATGATCCTAATTGGTTCAACCCCAAAGACTGATTCATGCTTTAGTTTTAAAGGAAAAGTGCATCATCTGCATCTAAATTCATTGCATCTGACTATCTCACAGCATATTCATGATCTCCTCTAATCATGCTCTGTGCTTGCATATTCTAATTAGCTTAAAGGATTGCTTGCATGATGTCCATATCATTAGCAGCAGATTATCGAATACTTTGATCCATTTTAAATAATTATAGAATGAATATAAGTTGATTTTAAGTAATTGATATTTAAATTTCTAAGTCCCTTTCCTCAAACTATTATAAAAATACAACTTTAATTCTAAGAATTAAAAAAGGTTACGGATTATTTATTTCAATTTATTTTTCATTTCTTTTTCAAAAGCTCATCTCTAATTTGCTAATGCATTTACCTATCCCAATATCTCTATCCAAATCTTTAAAGGGATCTATATATGTGTGTAGTGATTGCTCTTCCGAGTAGAGTATCTCTATTTTGATATGCAAATTTGACAATCATGCTTGACTATTTTTTTACTGCTCTCTCAGCTGCTCTTGGATAATATAGATACCCAATTACAGGCATTCCAATCAGGCAATACAATCTAATATTAATAGGAATTCTTTGCCTCATAAACACGAGGATTCCCAAAATAGTACATCCTCCAAAAATATACAGTTAATGAGTTCGATATATCTTCTCAATCTTAGCTATAACCATATCCATAATGATCTAATCATTCTTCTCTTACAGTTTATCCTTTTAACTTATCAGATACCTTAAGAACCTATGATCTCTCTGTTAGTTTTGGACTCTATCGCTCCATCTATCCTTAATATTTTTAAACTTGAAATCTCCATCATCATATCTCTACTTCCACGTCCTATTCACATATTAATCACTTAACACAGGTATAAGTTTAATATCCTAGAGCTCTGAGTATGACATTTTTTCTTTCTCTATGTATGCCTCGAGATCTTGATTTTGCAGTTTACTTCTCATTTATGGATTTAAGATTTGCTGCTATCGTTTATCTTTAAACTTTTATTTCTACTCTAGCAACTTAAACTTCAGTAGTCCTAGTTTAGAAATTTTTTTATTTTCATTAACTGATTCAGAAGATTATTCCTCATTGCTATCTCGTTTCATTTTAATAAATTAATTTTGATATAATGCAAGTTTAGATTGCTCCTATTTTTGTGACTAGGGGTTTTGGGGTTTTGGGGTTTTGGGG